GTGCCTCTTCTTGCCCCCTTCCTGGGAGACATGGTACCTGCAGCTCTTAAGCATTTTTTTGGGTAATGTTTATTTATTGGATGTGTCGACAGAGAGAGAGGAGAGAGAGAGAAAGAGAGATTTTTCATCCTCTGGTTCAATCCCCCAATGGTCACAATGGCTGGAGCAGGGCCAATCCAAAGCCAGGAGCCAGGAGCTCCTTCCCAGTCTTCCACATGGGTACAGGGGCCCACTTCTGCTGCTTTTCTAGGCACATTAGTGGGGAGCTGGATGGGAAGTGGAGCAGCCGGGACTCCAACCAGCGCATATGGGGTGCCAGTGCTGAAGGTGGTGGCTGTACCCGCCATGCCACAGCACCAGCCCTTCTCAAGCACGTTTTAAAGGTTTATTTTTCAGAGAGAAATTTTCCATCTGCTGATTCACTCCCCAGATGACTGCAACAGCAAGGTGTGGGCCAGAACTCCATCCAGGTCTCCCACATGGGTGGTAGAGACCCAAGCACTTGGGCCATCATCTGCTGCCTCCCAGGATGCATCAGCAGCAGGCTGGATTACAGGCTGGGCAGCCAGGCCTCTGGCTGACACTCCTGTGGGGGGCCCTGGCATCTTAATCAGTTGTGCTGCTGTGCCTGCTCCTCTTTTTTTTTTTTTTTTTTTTTGACAGGCAGAGTGGACAGTGAGAGAGAGAGAGAGAGAGAGAAAGGTCTTCCTTTTGCCGTTGGTTCACCCTCCAATGGCCGCCACGGCCGGCGCACCGCGCTGATCCGATGGCAGGAGCCAGGAGCCAAGTGCTTTTCCTGGTCTCCCATGGGGTGCAGGGCCCAAGCACTTGGGCCATCCTCCACTGCACTCCCTGGCCACAGCAGAGAGCTGGCCTGGAAGAGGGGCAACTGGGACAGAATCCGGCGAGCTGCTCTTCTGATCCAGCTCTCTGCTATGGCCTGGGAAAACAGTGGAAGATGGCCCAAGTGCTTGGGCCCCTGCACCCACGTAGGAGATCCTAAAGAAGATCCTGGCTTCTGGCTTCGGATCAACTCGGCTCCAGCCATTGGCAGCTATCTGGGGAGTGAACCAACAGACGGAAGACCTCCCTCCCTCTCTCTACCTCTCTCTGTAACTCTGTCTTTCAAATAAATAAAATAAATCTTTTTAAAAAAAAAGAGAGAATCCATCTTTGGGCCCAGCATTGTGGTGTAGCAGATTAAGACCAACACCTGCGATGCTGGCATCCCATTTGAACACCAGTTCAACTCCCAGCTGCTTGGCTTCCAATCCAGCTCCCTGCTAATGCATCTGGCAAAGCAGCAGACCCACATGGGAGACCCGGATGACTCTTGGCTTCAGCCTGGCCCAGCACTGCCTGTTGCAGCCATTTGGGGAGTAAACCAGCAGAAGGAAAATCTGTCTCTTCCTCTCCCTTACTTTCAGATAAAGAAATAAATCCTTAAAAAATGAAGAAAAGAATCTGTCCTACACCTAAATGGAAGCAAGGGCCCACTTATAAGATCTTAGGAGTGGAGGGGGGGGCAGGGCTCCTGGAATCCAGGTTCCTAGGCCAGGGTCACGGTTAATTTACTTGAAAGAGTTTCATAGAGAAAGGTCTTCTATCCGATGGTTCACTCCCCAGATGGTTGCAACAGCCAGAGCTGTGCGGATCTGAAGCCAGGAGCTTCTTCCGGGTCTCCCACATGGGTACTGGAGCCCAAGGACTTGGGCCATCCTCCACTGCTTTCCCAGGCCATAGCAGGGAGCTGGATCGGAAGTGGAGCAGCCGGGTCTCGAACCGGCACCCACATGGGATGCCAGCACTGCAGGCGGCAGCTTTACCTGCTATGCCACAGCACCGGCCCCCAGCCTACTTTGGAGTGTCAGCTCACTTCCCACTGCTCTGGGAGCCTTCAGAGAGGAGGCCATAGATTTGTATTCAGCTCCTGAAGAAACGGCCACAGGGCGCTTTTCCCTGCTTCTAGGGGCCTTCACTGCCTGTCCTGTTGGCCCCCTGCAAGTTCCGTCTTTCAGGGTTTCTTATTTTGTTTGTCAAACCTCCAAACCTGCTGCTGTCTGAAGTTCTTGGTACCTCCTATCCCTTTATTGTACTTGCTTTTCCTCATCCTAGGTTTTTTTTTTTTTTTTTTTTAAGATTTATTTTATTTGAAAGAGTTACAGAGAGGCAGGGGCAGAGAGGGAGGTCTTCCATCTGCTGGTTCACTCCCCACATGGTCGCAACAGCTGGAGCTGGGCCAGCATGAAGCCAGGAGCTTCTTGCGGGTCTCCCATGCAAGTGCAGGGGCCCAAGGACTTGGGCCATCCTCTGTTGCTTTCCCAGGCCACAGCAGAGAGCTGGATCAGAAGTGGAGCAGTCAGGACTCTGAACTGATGACCATATGGAGGCTTTACCTGCTATACTGCAGCTCTGGCCCCTTTCCCCTAGTCTTAATTCAGACATCTAGAATCGTCCATCTTTTTAATCCTAGCCTTGTCACATTTTTTTTTTTTTTTTAAGATTTATTTATTTTATTTAAAAGGCAGAGTTAGGTCTTCCATCTGCTGGTTCACTCAGAGGGTTGCAGTGGGTGGAGCTGGGCCAATCTGAAGCCAGGAGCAGGCAGCTTCTTCCAGGTCTTGCACGTGGGTGCAGGGGCCCAAGCACATGGGCCATCTTCTGCTTTCCCAGGTGCCTTTGCAGGGGGCTGGATTGGAAGTGGAGTAGCTGGGACTTGAACCAGTGCCAATATGGCATGCTGGCACCAAGGGCTGTGGCTTTACCCACTCTGCCACAGCGCCAGCCCCCACATTCTGTTTTTTAGCTTGAACTCACGTCTGACAATTTCTGATCCTTGCCCTTAGCAGAAATGTGTGCAGGGCCCTCGCACCTGTAGCAGTGCTCTGGCACAGAAGGGCAGCCTGAGCCCCTCGACGGCCCAGGCAGGCGGGCAGGCAGGCGGGCAGTCGTTCCGGGCCAGCCCTGGGAAGCAGCTGCAAGATTCTGTATTGCTGGAACTGGAGGGACTGCACATTGCGACTGAGGGATGTGCATGAACTCTGTTGGGGACTCACGAACCAGACGCTTGGCCTGAAGAGCGTTTCTCAGTGGAGTCCTGTGTATCGTGTGTCCTGGCTTTAAGTTTTGGAACGCAAATGAAGTTGGTTTTTTCATTGGAAAAATAAATGATCGCAAGCTGATAGATGGAGAAGGGAGAGTTCTTGGGACTTTGTATCCATTATTCCCTAGTCCCTCTTCTCTGTCAGCGGGGTTGCACTGCACCTATGGCATTAGCAAGTGTATCTGCTTGGGGATAGGCTGGTAGACAAAAGGGGCATCATTGTTCTCTTGGGAAGGAAGGAAGGAAGAAGGGGGCTGGTGCTGTGGTGTAGCGGGTAAAGCTGCCACCTGCAGTGCGGGCATCCTGTACGGGTGTGGGGCTGTCCCCACATCTTCACCCTGCTCTCAGCCCTCCAGGCTGGGTCCTGGGGGCGCAGCTCTGTGGTTAGGGTCCCTC